GTTTTTCGTGATGTACAATGTACTTGCCATGTAACAATCAAAAAGCATGCCATTTTTCCGCAATTACAATGCTTTTCATTGTATGTTTGACAAATATTGTCTTAAATATGATTAAGTCTTACTAGTATTTGTAAAAAAGTCGTTTTCAGAGTTACAAATTTTTTGAAGTTAAAATCACGGCTCCTCGTCGTGATTTTGGAAACTAGGAAATATAATAATAGTAATAATGTTTATTGCAGCATATATATATATATAACAAATACAAAACGTATAATACTCAAAAGGCTTAGGGTTTATAATACCATTTTTCACCTCAGCCTACTAAACTACAGCTGAAAATTATTAACACATTATGGGTAATAATGTTGAATATACATTATACTATAGAGAAAGCATACGAGGAACAATCATTTTGAAGAGCCTGGATTTAACTGGTTGTGACTTAAATGATTTTTTTATACCGAAGCAGCCGCACAGGCAGAAGCCTAAATGCCAGGATACCCCGGCTGCTATGAGGATCCAAAGAAATTTTGTTAATCTGATTTTTGAACTGCCTAAGGTTAGTAGAACTGGGAAAAGCCTGCACAATCTCGACACCCTCGAGAGCCTTGAATAGAGTGCGGAGAAAAGTACTTCTTAGCCCTAAAGAATAGCTTAGCTTTTTCCCAACAGCTGCTGTTATTGACGAGATGTGCTCGTGTCAGATTAAATCCTCGATGATCTTGACTCCGACCAGCCGAAATGGAAGGCTCTTTGGCAGAAGTCGGCCATCCATCGAAACCGGGTGAGCGGTAAGACGGTTTTGGTTCATCAAGGTACAGTACTGTGTTTTGGAAGCATTAAACTGTTATTGCACCCCCAAGCAGCGGGAGTGCAATAATCTGTCTCTCGTCAGAGAGAAAGTCGCCGCTAGTCTTCTTTTAGTCATAGAATTTTTTTCAAATTGACTTTTGGAACTATAAGAGTATGCTTCGAAAAATTTGAAATAATCAATAAGAATAGATGGTACCGAGTAAAGAAAAAAATTTTAAAATTTAGATGTTGTATGGGCCGGTATGTTGTAACAATTATCATTGCGTAGTAATATTTGTTGACCGTTTCTCTAATTATCTGAACGAATACCTAGGGGATATTGAAATTTCAAACATTTTATCTGACATAATGCAGTAATCTGCTCTTATCTGTGTATACCGCTGTGACAAAATCCCATACAACAATATTGAAGAATTTGGAATTTCTCCTTCATTTCCTCTCTTAGAAAATCGTAATAAACTGTAGTTCCGTTATCTAGATCTGTAAGAATTAGCGAACTAACAAGTCTTGTTCCAATATCGCTTGTCAATAAATACTTGTTTCTCGAGAGAGATTTATATTTAAAATAACATACTCCAAGTTTACTTATAACATGACCCTCAAAACAATTTGTATCTTACATTATTCGTTAATTTTTAATTGCATCCACAATTTCAATAATGGTTCCATCTAAAACTATAGTATATTTCTGAATTAATTGCTTCTTCTTTGGAACTACTAACCTAGAGCCAATGCACCAGACTTTTAGATTTGGAGGGGTTAAGTTCCAAACAATAATTTCTTAAATAATTATCTTTAGAATCATATTAAGGTCCACTATCAGGAAATTTATATTATTCAGTTTACATGCTTTATAAATTTGGACATCATGCGCATAGAAATGTACACTCCAATCAGATGTTATACAATCTATAAAATCTGAAGTGTAGAAACTGAACAGTATAGGACCTAAAACACTTTCTTGTGAAAAACGTGATTTTACATCTCGTAAAGTAGGTATTTTATCGCGCATTTTCACACTCTGGGATCTACCATTCAACTAGTTGATGAACCATTGCAGGGCATTGCCAGATAAATCACAGTGTTGTAAATTTCAATATAGGATACTGTGACCATGTCAAATGTCTTGCTATAGTCTAACATCACCAAAAGTGTAACCATTCCGTCATCCACGGATATCACTGAAGCCAGATTGTGTGTCAAGTAGTTTTTCATGCACGTCTAATGTCGGGTTCATGCGCGACTTAACGTAACTTAACTTCGGAAAATGAGCATTTAATGCGCATGCGCGGCCAGGATTGCCAATGTAGCAATGGCGACATCAACATTAAACTCACTAATGAAATCAAATGTTTGAAGTCAAGGTAGCAGATAAAACATTGACAAGTGGCATCTCCCCACACGCTTGCGCCAATGCACTGGTAATCAGTCACGGAACTCGGATAATAGCCCAGGTAATATATATATATATATATATATATATATATATATATATATATATATAATGTTCCGATTCCGATTTTTGCATAATCTGTTTCAAGGACCCTTGTTAAAGAATCTGCATGTGACTAGGCACAAAATTATTATTAAACAGATTCCAAAAATTGATTTGTTCGCGTTGTTTAAAGTATTTTGCGGTTTTTGGGACATTCTGAACAAAAAATGAGTTTTAGAACTTTTCTCTGTACTTGATATATATAAACAATATAAAAGTTTAAAATATGCCATTTGCTACCCAAAAACAATATGAAAAATGAATATTTTGATGTTGCCAAGTCTCACACATGCTTCAACCAACCAATAACAAAATCCCAGAGCATTCTAGGGAGAACAGATATTGTAAATATTTCATAGTAATAATTATTAATTCAATGCGCGCTCAATGTATAGTCTATGTGAACGCGAGAGAGAAAGATGAAATATCTCTCGTGCACGCTGAATATACATACATTGAGCGTGCGTTTGCTTAACAATTATATATACAAAGGTTTGTAATAACAGTATCCCCTAAAGGTTAATTATTATTTATGAAGCACATCAACATTTTCGTTTCTTCAGATCGTTTTTCGTTGCCGCAAAAGATCATGTATATTTTTTGTGGAAACATAAATACTAAAATAACAAAAAATACATCTGTAGTTAAAGGACTGACTGGAATACAAATATAATCTCTCGGATATGTGAGTCTAAACAATTTTGCACACACTGTTAATGGGTGAAGACAAACAAAATTGTCCTCAAAAAAAATGTTTCTCCAAACTAGGAAAGAAACTGCTGATGCCACTGACAATTAATTTGGTATCCATAAACTAAATGATGATCTTCGTTCCAACTGTCTCCTCCAAGGATGCTGGCACTGTGAAACAAAAGAAAAATTATTGGCATAATATCACTGTCATATTTGGTCAGCTAATAGTAAACAGAAACATCGTCATCTCACCACTCCTATTCAGATGATACTGCTCTGTACATATGTATAAATTCCCAATCTAGCAGTATACATTTGATTGCCAAAATTCTCAGTCAGAACAAGCAGAAAGCATGTATGTGTAAAAAAATTTTTATTGGGTTACCAAACACCAGTCCTTAATTTGGTTCTGGGCTTTACCAGATTTGTTATTACCCATCTGTTTACCTCAATAAACATCAAAAGAGATTACATATTTGGTGGGCTGCGAATAAACAGCATTGGCCAGGTGTACACATAGTTCATAGTTCCTGACAAAGTACCTTCACACTGTTCTGTGAGGTTTTGTAGAAACATGTCATGTGGGGGCGTGGTATAGATTTAAACTCTCTTTTCTTCCGTAGGGACTATAATTTCCCAACACCTACACCACTGGTATAGTCTCAGACATGAAAATGTTTGTATTTATCAGCTTTGATGTCAGTACTACAAGCACAAAATTTTAAGATCATATCTTAACTCAGTCCATCTTTTTTTTTTGTTTCTAGAATATAACTTCAATATCCTCTATCTTGGTAAGGGGGCAATTTAGGACCCTTGTTTATTTTTTTCATGCTATTTTTTTATCTACTTTATTATGTAGTAATACTGATATGTTTTGATGAAACTACCGCTATACGCACTTTGTTACGGGATGAAGTAAACATGACCACTGACTTTATTTATTATATTTTTCAACATACATCTCTGATTTCTTTTTCAAGCCGCCCCGATGTTCAGCTCTACACTGTCATCCGTAAGCAAGGGCAAATCACTTTTCTTACAAGTACAACTATCACCGAACCATCTGCCCATAGAGCGATATAAAATCGATCGAATATCACGATATAAATATCGACTATCGACGTCGGTACAGTATCGATTGCTCCTACCCATCTTGGAATTCCAGCTGTAGCGATCAGCTGACCAATGCTACTGATCCGATTGGTTGGTTCTTAAGATAAAGTTCAATATGGCTTCATTCCAACAAAGCCGTGTACCGTACAGTGAATCATAAAGAGCGTGCGCAGTACGTTTTTAGAGTCACTTACATGATGGTTCACTGTACGGTACACGGCTTTATTGGAACGAAGCCTATATTGAACTCTATTTTAAGAAGTGACCTTGAATTAAGAAAATGACCATGAGCTCAATATATTTAGTCATTTATGCAAAACTGTACTGATTTGGATACTTACGGCAACGTCATCATTAGGCGCTCCTCTGGTGATGTCCGATTGCGTTCAGGTGCCAGCTGCAGGTACCTCTTCACTAAGATTAGGTGTTAATGCCAGCGCGGCTTTTCGTTTTCTTGCTCTAGACATGGCCATCCTCAATTAATCGCACAAAAAACAAGTCCAACACAGAAAAACACACCCGAAAACGAACGCCAAAACAAATCTCTACCGCAAATTGGCCAACAACTCAAACAAAAACAATAGATTGATTCACCGCCAGGCTTGGTCCGTAAATCGTGGTGGAACACGAGACACCATGGAAACAGCATGGAAAGGGCTATCCAAGGGTAAGACGAGTTCCGAAACCACCCGAATCATGTCAAAAAAGGGTGTGACGTCACCAAAGCGTTTGACTACCGCTGGAAATCAGTAGCTGGTTACCCTCTGGCGGCGTAACATGTGGAGGACACTGGTGTAGAAACAGCTGATCCTTAAATTAGGTTACGTTAAGTCGTGCATGTCGTAGCTGATCATCCAAATTTTTGTGTAATAATTATATGCAGGAATGTTATTTGTATACAGTAAAATCTTCTTTTGTACAGACCAAGATGTAATTAGACACCACTAGCAACTGAAGAGCCGCGGTACTCTCAAACGTCTTCGTTCTTCTTCCAACTGTAATTGCAAATAAGACAGATATATTTCCTGATTCGATCGAGCAATCGATCGATGGACGTTCGATCGTCGTATAGGGACAGGCTTATTGCGATGCGCTTTGCCGATGTCGGCAGTCGCAAACGAGGACAAAGACGCACGATTTCACATGACCGGATTCGAAAATGCGCTTCTTCGACGCATCTGCAGACCGATCAACGAAAGAACATTGAGAACCGAAGTTTGTCTCAAGATGCATTCAATTAAAGGAGCAATAGGTCGCGTTCGTTAGGAACAGTGTCGTGCGGATTAATCATTAATAATAATAATCGTCTCTGTTAGTGGCGAAGTTTAGAAAAGTGCTATTCTGTCAATTAGTCCTAAAAACAAAATACAAGATACAAAACATAAAATTCAAATTCAAATTCAAAATACATTTATTTGCCAAAAAACAAAAACAAAAAAAACATTATATTTACTGTATTATAGCTTACATAAGTAGGGTGGGTGTGAAAATGCCTGTGTTACACTAATTTACACATATAATATATAAACAATATTCTGGAATTTAATGATTTCATTTATTACGAGCATGAACCATTGATATTACAGAAGAAAAAAATGTATTTACTCACTTAAAAAGTCAACGTTCCGACGGGTGGGGAGCACCGGGGAGGGGGCGAAGAGCGGCAGAAAGCAACGGACGCGAAGCCACACCGACGAACCCTCATACAGTTAACAACACCGAAATACATCTACACACACATACAACATCTATCATCACATGCTCGCTTCTCCATCTTAATAAAAAGATAAATTTGAAAAAATAAACTTGACAACAAATATCCGTGCACAATCACACTCATTATTGTATTATTGATCCTGGAGAAGCATGGCCATTATATACTTTGAGAACACTCTTTGTGACATTACCTTTACATCATTATTTACACTGTTCCACATTTTATTGCAAGAAATGAAAAAGAACGTTGAAATGCTGCAGACCTATGTCAAGGAGTAATAAAAAAATTCTGGTTATGTCTTGTCCCGTAATAATGATTAAAAGTTAAAAGCTCATTTTTCAAATACGGAGGTTTTCCTGATTTTATTATTCTATAGATGAAATTAAATAAATGATGTTTCCTGCGATTTAGCATATTCAGTATAGACAAACTGTTTAGGTAAGGTATTATGTGGTTACGATAAGGTATGCTGATTGAAAATCGCATGCAGGCGTTCTGCAATTTTTGTATCGCATTTTTAGTAGTATACGCCAACGAGCTCCCATAAAATATATCTCGTTTTTCTGGTCCTCATGCATTCGGACATCGTTTAAAATATTTACCAAGCTTGTAGTTGTACTAAACTTCTTCCTGAATCCCGATTGATATTGAGGAATCATATTTTGTGATTCAGAAAATTCCGACATCTGAACAAAATGTGCTTTTCTATAAGTTTTGACACAGAGGACAAAATACTAATTGGTCTAAGGTCTTTAAGTTCTTTAGGCTCGCCAACCTTTGATATGGGTTTTTTCCAAACAGAAGGGTAAGTATTTTCCAAAAGGCATGTGTTAATAATATTAATCAATGCATTTGCGCAGAAAGGAAGACACAATTTTATGTCTTTGATGGATATGCCATCCTCTCCAATCGCACCTGATGAAATGCAATCAACAATTTTTATTAGTCTATCTATCAAATGAAATTCCAAATTATTATTTACAGCTTGATTATATTCATGAAAACTGATCAAGTTTAATGATGTAGTGTCTCGCATGTTATCAGTCATCTGAAAAAAATCATGTATCTCAGATGGATTTAAGAGATTATCAGGAAGTTCAGAAAGAACCCTCTGGTTGGTCAGATTAAGCCTTCGCGCGGCTTTCCAAAAATCGTCTTGTTCTTTTCTTGCTAGTTGATTAAAATAGGTAACTTTTTCGCGGATAATAGCATACTTAGTGAAATTTCTTAGCCGACTATAATATCTAAGGTGCTGATCTCTTTTGGATCTTAAGTATTTTTTATGTGCTTTATCTCTAATTTTTATCAAATGTTTTATGTTTCGGTAATCCAGGGAAAAAACGGAATTTCTATCTTAATTTTTCTTGTTTTTAGAGGAGCATGTTTATCAATGATTGTTAAAATATATTTATTAAATAATTTCACCTTTTCATCTACATTGGTACAATTGTAAATAATATTCCACGGATATTATTATAATCGCGATAAGTAACGTATACTAAGTGACATATAAATCCGAACAGCCAGTTTAAATGGTTTTATTTTAATAAAATTTTGTATAAGTACTTAATGAAGCATAATAAGTAAATGATAAAAATTTCAAAATTTATTGCACTGCTTTAAAGCCCTTTGACCTTTAATAATGTGTGGATGCACCCTGATGTGCTACGCATTCTCCAACGCGCTTAGGCATGCTTCTGATCAGGTGGTCAATGTCCTCCTGTGGTATCTCATTCCAGGCAATCACCAACTCCTCTCGAAGTGCTTCTAGAGTCTGAGGAGGACGTTGCAAATTGAGCAATCTCCTACCCATCATCTCCCACACGTGCTCAATTGGGGATAAGTCGGGAGATCTTGGTGGCCATGGTAACAATGTGACATCATTATGTTAAAAGAAGTCTATTGCGACTCTTGCAACATGTGGTCGGGCATTATCTTGTTGCAAAGTTGGATCTGCCAGGGTGTCAAGATAGGGTAAAAGATGGGGTTCTAGAACTTCGTGGATATAACGCTGCGCGTTCATGTTACCTCTGATGAAGATTAAAGGTGACCTGGAACCATAAGCTATAGCACCCCAAACCATAACTCCAACAGTGTGATGAACATCTCTTTCAACAAAAAACTGTGGATTCCTCCTTTCACCACGTCGCCTTCTAACCCTGGCATGACCATCGTGCATGCCTAAACAAAATCGAGACTCGTCACTAAAGACAATACTGTTCCATTCCTGATCCCAGAGTGACCGTTGTCTGCACCACTCAAGGCGATTACGTCGGTGTTCTCGAGTTAAAGGGAGGACCCAGTGTGGCCGGTATGAAAACAAGCCAAATTCGTCGGTAAATACTTCGCATGCCAATAGGTCTTCCGTGTTCTGCAAACCATTCATTTGCAATGGACCTGGTAGTGGAGAAACGGTCCCTTAAGGCCAATAATCTTAGGCGGCGATCTTCACGGTCTGTTGTTCTACGGCGGCGTCCAGTGCCCCTTGCTCTTTTTGGGTACGGCCTTGCCTGACAACACCTAACCACAGTGTCTACACTTCTTTGCACTCTAACTGCAATTGCCCGAAAAGAAAGTCCAGCTTCCCGAAGTTCCACTATACGGCCCCTATCAAACTCACTAAGTTGACGAAATCGTACAGGTCTCCGTACTCTAGGCATCGTAACCGATCGTAAAGGATGTCAAGAACCAAAATCCGCCAACGTTGATTCTTTACTGCGGCTGAAATATTCATTTTTAGAGCGTTAGTGAATTAAAAAAAAGCAGTATAAAAACCGGAATGTCCAACTGATAAGGCTGAAAATTTTTTCACTTGTTATTTACAGTAAGATAAATACATTCACCAACTTTTATTAAAATAAAACCATTTAAACTGGGTGTTCGGATTTATATGTCACTTAGTATATTTTGGAGAACTGTTTATTTTTGGAATGTCAAAGACCGAATAAACTAAATCATGGTCTGTTATATTCTCGTCTATTGGTATGGTTCCTGATTTAACTGTTAGCAAATTTTCACTTACAATAATCATATCAATCAAAGTAGAGTGTAATGTCAACATATCATATCTAGTTGGCTCAGATATTTTTGAGAGAGATTGAATGACTGCAAAACGCCTGGTGTGATTAGATTCACTCAGACAATCAATGTTAAAATCTCCTCAAGCATATCAGTGTTACATTAATGAGCTCAAACATAAGTACATAAAAATAGGTATAAAAATATGTTGTATAAAATATGTTGAATAACTATATAAAACAGATATGTATACAAAGATATGAAAACAGGGTGATTTACAAGTCGTGACCACAAATGAAACATCCTGCACACGACCGCATACTAAAAAAGATATTCTATGTAACATTTTTTTCTCGGGGGTTTCATTAAACAGATACAGTTTAAAAATAAAAACAATTTTTTTAAATCTTCAAGACCGTCTAAAATTTGGTATGTGGATTTATCTAAGAATTTTCCATATTTAAAAGTCTTTACTTATGATTAAAATGCACCTTTCTTGCAGAAATACAGGAGATTAGTGGCATTATTTTTTCGAATAAAAATAGTACACCACTGTTATTTTTTGAAACGTGCAATTTTTTGAATTATACCTTCAATTTGCTACAAATAATTACTCTTGTGTTTTTTCCAAGAGTGCACTGTTTTCGTAAAAATAAAAATATAACAAATTAGATCATGAAAAGCCACGATCCAATTAGTTTCAAAATAAAATAGGAGGCCTAGATGCCAACTTGACGTTTCTTGAAAGATACTTTGTCAAAGTTATGTGTTGCACGGTTGTTCTCGTTACTACTACTATTTTTTTTTTGTAAAAGTCAAGTCAAAAGTTTCTTTTTTCCATCTTTGAGGGTTATGAAATGGAACTCCGCAATGATGCGGTACGCCGATATTATTTTTGTGTACGGTTCTGCATTGGAAATGCTTTAGCTGCTTCTCGGGGGTATCAACGTAGATTTCCTAACAGACGCCGACCTACCCCAAAAGTTTTTACTGGTATGGAATTGCCAAAGCTCCATGGTGTCCGGCATACTGTTCAAGAGGAACTGGAAGTGACTAATTTGGAGTTGGATGATCCTAGTACAAGTACTAGGCGGAATGCAGCCCCGTTACCATGTTCCCAAAGTCTTGGGTGGAGAATTTTAAATCGAGAAGTTTTTCATCCTTACCATGAGCAAAATGTGCAATGTCTGCAACT